ATATGACTCAATTACCATATCTCTTATATATATACGAGTGTATATATATATATACTCGTATATTTATTTATATATTGATAGGTACTGTACGACATCTAAGCAGTTTAATCGACCTATAATTTGAATATTTTAATTCTGAATATTTTCAATGAATTTTATGTAAGTTTTGACGAAAAACAGAATTATAAATGAGATTAACCGTTTGGTAAGCTTTAATTCAGGACGAGAATTGGATAATTTTATTGAAATTTTAAGAATGATTACTCTTAACATTTATTTAAAAATGTGTCTTATTTATATAAAATTTACATTTACACCTTAATTTTGGAATATATTTTAAATTCTGTTACTATGTCACATGTAATTAAAGTGAATGAAATCTGTCAGATTATCTCTGAAACAAGTACCAAAGATGGGTAAATTATGGCCTGTGAACTATACTTTATCCGTCTTTGAAATAATTTTGATCTGTTTCACGGCATTTAACTGTAATGAACAATTTGTTCAGTTTCACAAAGTAATTGTATATTGTACAAAAGGATTAACGATTTCCTTTGTAGCCCGCAGTATAAAATTCCCTCTTGTCATAACTTTTTATAGTTTAAAATGTTAAAAGCATTTTTATTTGATACTTTGGCAGCAGCTGCTGCAACAAAAAGACATAAAGAAATGTATAAAACAATGCAATAACAAAAGAAATGTTCCCCTCAGTTGTCGAAATGAATGAACTTATAATCTGATTTTTATTAATAAAACGAATATTTGAAATTAAATTTATCATCAAATCAAGACATATACCAGAAAGAATAATTATGGTTTTTAAAATTAAAATAAATAATATACTGTATATTATAGAGAGTGATTCGAAAGTCTCCAAGCAAAATAGACTTCCGAATGCTTATGATGATATCAATACATCGATATGAGTTGAGGGAATGCATTTATATATACTGTACCTGTACTATTAATTAAATGGCATTCATACATGTCATATTTTATGACTTAGAGGTGGCTATGTAATAAAGGTGTGTTTTACCCATATATAGGAACTTTTGATTTTGTTTGGTTGGATGGGATATAGCAAAGCAATGTATGAACAATCTGCTAAAGAGAATTTCTATAAGGAAATTGACCGCTATTTAGGCGTTAGACACGTAAAGAAAACCAGGAAACCTCCATGTGGCCAGCCTGTTGACCAGGCACAAATTTGCGACCAATCAAATGCAGGTAAAACCAGCATTCAGTGGTTTTACCTGCTGGTAGAAATACAGACATTTGAATCACTCTTATTTAATTATAGGATGGACGTTTTGAAGTTCTGCAAATTTTCTATTTAATTTTACAGCACATTACTTGTGTGTAATGATTTAAAATAGTATAATAATTCACAATTAGTTTTATTATTCCTTCACTTCCTTGCTATCTGAACGATTAAATTAGTCTATACATAATTTTGGTAATGTTTTTAAAATACTCTGTAATTACAAATTTTTCTTTAAAAAGGCGAATGCATGTATCGAAGAAATATAAAAGAAATTCAATTTTATATCTAGCAAATAGACAAAACGTAAAACAGTAGGTACTGTACATTACCTGGTAAAACGGCTTTAATATGGCAGGATAAGAAAGCCAGTGGCCTAGTCCGTTTCATTTGAAACAGACTATGGTGCCTCTATCAGGCAACGCATCCACCATTTTCATTATTCGAATTAATTAATATATTTTGATATTAAAGTATTGTTTGACTCTTACATGTATTATATTGTTTTGATGTTTATACGGGCGAACTACTTGCTTTGTTGGGGTAGTCATCATTTGCTATATAACATCACTTTGCGGATGTAAATAAATAAATATATTTTGTTATCATTGAAAATTAGTGTCAAGAATATGAAAGATAGATATTCTTGCAAACATTTGGATATATAATTTCTTGTTTAATACTCCAATAAAAGTATTTTTCATTGAAAAAGTTGGTTACACAAAACTTTAAATTTAATCAAAACATTAAATAATATAGTAATTTCTCATTATAATCACTCTTTTGTATATAGTGCTTTTTTCCATCTTCCAAATATAAAAATGTTTTAGCCAATTTTTAAAATACAGTATTAGCTGCGATTGAAATTCTACTGATAAACAAATATTACCAATCATTGATCTTGAAACTACCATTGTATGAAATACAACCCACAAAAAAANATTTTATAAATAAAGCTTTCTAGAAATATAAAAACGTATATTTTTAATCATACTACTTTTATCTTTGTAGATGATGTAAAAGCCACGACTGTATGTAGCTGCAGTAAAAATCACATTGCCTGCAATCCAGGCCCTCTTGGCAACTGTACGTGCATCCCTTCTAGATGGAGATGTGATTCTGACGACGATTGCGGAGACGGAAGTGATGAAACAGGATGTGGTGAGTTATGACATTTCTCAAGTAGAATAACCAATAGTTTCCCTTAAAAAAGAAAAGAAAAGAAAAAAGAAAAATGTGTCTGCCGAAGAAATTAAATACAGTTTTCGTGTCTAATGGAAAAATAATTTTTATGTTCGGTTCTATTCTCATCTTACCGAATCCATAGAACATTTTTATAAATGTCTCTCGACAAAGATGATCTTCTTGCCATAAGATCATTTATTTTAACTCATATAGCGAGCTTATAATCAATCATAAAAAAGCATATTATAACCGATATGTTATAATACACAGCTTTATGATTGATTATAAGCTTCATCTTAAGTATAAAAATAAACGATCTGTAGAGAGACAACTTTTTATTAAATAAAAAATAAAAATATTTTGTAATCTATATATACTCGTATATTTATTTATATATTGATAGGTACTGTACGACATCTAAGCAGTTTAATCGACCTATAATTTGAATATTTTAATTCTGAATATTTTCAATGAATTTTATGTAAGTTTTGACGAAAAACAGAATTATAAATGAGATTAACCGTTTGGTAAGCTTTAATTCAGGACGAGAATTGGATAATTTTATTGAAATTTTAAGAATGATTACTCTTAACATTTATTTAAAAATGTGTCTTATTTATATAAAATTTACATTTACACCTTAATTTTGGAATATATTTTAAATTCTGTTACTATGTCACATGTAATNTGTTACGGACGAAGGAGGTTGTCTGTCAGATATGAATGATAAATGACTTTGGAGGAAATTGGTTGAAGTGCAGTTGTCAATAATTGGACTGATATTTTCACCTGACTTTTTTATATCTCTGATTATTTTAATTTGTTTGACTAATTATGGTAAAAATACTTTGACAGTTCTCGTTAAAATATTTTTATTCTATTCATTTTACATAGCAAGTGACCAATCTTTATTTTAATTCGTTAAAGATAATAAATTTATTAATGAATTGCTTTGTATAATTAATTAATTACAACGTCTGTTAACTGTTGAACAGTAAATTTTAAATAAAAATAACAAAAAAAAATACAGAAAATTATTATAAATTTTTTTTTCATTTTTACACAAGTTTTACAAAATTGAGAAATTTTAAATTATCAATTACATTTATCCAATTTTAATTGTATTATTTATTTAATAAAATGAAATGTTTACTGTAATCTCGCTTTTAAGATTAATTTTCATAAGTTTATAATAATTTTATTATAAACATTTTATTCTAGAGAATGTTTTATGGTATATGTGTTATCAGTTTACACCCAACACAAAATTTTTATTTTGTGTTGGTGTAAACTGAAGATGGCCATAATAGCTTGAAAATGTTATCTAGTACAGAATAATTTTGGTTTTGTGAACTTTAATAATTATTTTAAATTATAATTTAATTGCGTTTCTTGATTTTATTTTATATATCTTCTTTTTTCTTTTCGACTCATGGGAAAAACTAACGTTAAAACGAATGGCTTATCAAAACAGCTAAATGAGAAGGGCTTATCACATCAAGACGAGATGGAATTAGACTCAATTATTCAAATATAACTTTTATTAATATGGGAATGCATTTCGAGTGCACAGACCCCTCACCAGCCCATTTAAATAGTAAATACATAGCAGAAAACACAATAAACATCTAAAATAATGTAGCAAAACAAAGTTTACAGACTGATATAAATAACTCAGTGCACTGTGATACAACTACATAAAATGCTAAATTAATTTAGTATTTTGCGTAATTGTTAAAATTAAGTCATAAATGTAAATAATAATTTATTATTGATAGAACCAATTTTATGTTTTATGAAGACGACAGCTTAATTTGTCTGTTCAAGACTAACTACAACCATTGATTACTTTTTATTATTGTATTGTACAATTTTCATTAGTTTTAATTTAGTATTAATAATTTAAATTACTATGTTGATGGACAGCGTGTTACTTCTATAAAATTTTTCTTTTTATAATCACACATTAAGATTTCTTAATGTGTGATTACTGTTCTAAACCTTTCCTTTTACTAGTTTTCGCTCAATTTCTTTTGCGAGAAATACTGTATAGTATATCGTTCTGAATAATTCCCAAAATGTCCAAATTCTACAGGTTGTCTCAGTCTGTAACCATAGGAATTAGGTTGATCCTTGTTTATTTTTTTGCAGGTAAAGCATGACGCCGAATAATGTGGAACAAATTCAGATTATTTTGGTGTGAGGACCCATAAAGATTCTGTGGATTTTTACACTTTCCCAAATACTGCTTTCTGCATGCAGCCTGTTAAACTCCTCAACAATTTCACACTGACTGCGAGTTCCCACCATCAAAATAACTTTAAATTGTTCCCCTTACGCAGCGACCTGCTTTACCTGTAAAAGAATAAACAAAGATTAACATAACTCCTATAATTTCATTTTACGGGACATCCTGTATAATGTATTAGATAGTCAGATGGCCAAACGATTAAGATTTCTGAGGAACCAGAAATGAATCCAATCAAAACCTCAGGAATTTTTCGGAGGGCGTGGACCGTTCTCCACTATTCGGCTGCCTCTAATCTAGGCTCGGTCGAACCCACGATGGGCTTGGTTAAAAGACTCTCCAGAGTGGAAAGAGCAAAAATATCCCTGCATAATTTTCTGTATACTTTTCTAAAATATGAATATGAATGGAATAAAAGCAGTTCTATTCGATTTGCAATTTTTTTGGTTGTTTTATTATTAAATATAAATTATTTTCAAAAATAATCTCTCAAAGATATATAAAACTACTTTATTTTTTGAACAAAAATCTTCATAAATAATTAAAAATTAAATATATTCCATACATCATCTGGAAATTATTAATGATCATTTATAACGAGAAAGTCAGGACAGACTTGTTTTGTGTACTTACAGATATTTCGGTTTTTCATCAAACTACAAGTTTTCAAAAGTTATTTTAATAATTCAATAAAATTAAATTAATATAAAATATTCTGCCTGTATTGTATAAGAGAATTTTCCATAAGCAAAATTAAATAACTTTATTTTTTAACTTCTGTGGATGAAAATATAAAGAAACGTAACTTGTTTTCAAAGAAATTCGATTATCATTCAAATTATATTAGTGCCAAAACACAAAAAATACTTTATATTAAAAATTATTTTTATTTGGAAGAAAATGTTGAAGTAGAGACAGCTATTAATTAAAAAGAGATTTGTTTATGCTGTTTTTCTAGTACATGTTTTTATAATTAGGGCAGTCGAGAGGAGAAAGCCCCCTCTTGACTGCTCGGAGAAAATTTCGGGGATTTCTTTCTAAATTTTTTCCGGGACCCTTAATAGTTTCTACCCTATGAATTAATGTTATTTTTAGTAACAAAAATAAAATTTTTAAGACTGCTTTTTATTAATAAAGAAATATTCTACTTATTTCATTTGTCCAAAAAAGTGATAAAAGAGATCCGATCTGCTTCGGGCCCTATACCAACTGCTTGATGGCCTACTTATAACGGAATCGAGTCAGAGATTATTAGAAATGAAGAATATAAGGATTTATTGTGTTGTTTATAGACGAAAATTGAAAAACGCCTAATTCTATAATTAATTCTAAATTTAATCTCTTGGTTCTAAATTTCCCTAATGTACTTGTAAAATTCATTTTTTGTAAAACATGTTCGATTGCTCAAGATCAGTATATTTTAAGATAATAGTAATTAAATTGAAAGTATCAATTAAGAGAACTCTAAGATCTGACATTCCATTAAATATTTTATCTTTTATTATTTTTTTCTTACAGTATAACGCAATTTTGTATAACAAGTAGATTATTAATAACTTTTGGTTTAAACATAATTAAAACTAAATTCAAAGTTAGCTTTTCGAATTTAATTTGTTAATTCTTCTTCTTCATAGTATATAGTAATGATTTACGAGAGTTTTAATATAGATTTAGATTTTTTAAAATTCTTTTCGCTCTGTACGCACTAAAAGAACCTTTTTAATAGTGGGTTAGACAACACTTTCAGTGGGGCTGTTGTTAGTGGTCGAGTGGATAAAACTAGCTAATAAGTGGTAATTGGTGGCGGATTTGGCCTCACCAGCTGACTGGCTATGTGGATTTTCTTCATGTGTGTAACACTTATATAGGGGTCAGTTTTCCGGCGAGCACCTCTGGAAATTCGTTGCAGATCGCTCGTGTTGTGTCCCGTCAATCCAATTCAGTCCCAGTTGATGCGGTGAGGGAGGAGGTCCGACATATTCGGTATATATTCGCCCATGAAAATTTCCGAAGGATGCTCGCGAGGGATGTAAAAAAATGTTGTTACTAATGTAGAGTACTTGTATCTATCTCTATGGGTGTGTTCCCGTACGTGCATATACTTTATACACTGTGTATAAAGGAAGATAATACATGTAAGTATGTATTATCTTTCTTTATCCAGATCACTATGAGGTAAAGATTGATGATGGAAGTTTTCAGAAATGTTCAAATTCTGAAATTTCTGGTGGAAGTGTCATGAGCGTTCAATTAAAATATGTCGAAGTGTTTAATATAAAATATTCTGCCTGTATTGTATAACCTCGCTGTACTGTAAAATATTCTGCCTGTACTGTTTACCTCGCTTTGTTATTTTTTTAATTGTTTTCACATTAATACTATAACTTCGTATGTTTCTATTTAGGGAAAGGTAGGGAAAAGCGGAGTACTTAATCTTTAAACTAATAAAATAAAGTTTATAAACTTACCTAAATAATTTATTTTTCACAGAATCATAATTTATTAATTATGTTAAGAATAACAAGCTTGTGTGAATATTTGAAAATATTGTATTCAAAACCTGAAAATTTGACAGGATTTTATGTAATGGATACGAATCACTCCACTTCGCTTCATATATGGGGCAAAGCGGAATGATTCGTATGGAATGATTGCCCCATCTATACAGTACCCCAGTTTACTCCATGCATAGGGCGAAGTGTACGAAACTTACCTAAATAATGAAAAT